ATGTGTAAGCGTGGGAAACGGGCAATCGCACAGCCGGACGGAATGCAAGTGAAAGCACGCGTATATATATATATATATATATATATATATATACAAAATGGTTAATAACACTAATAACATATTGCATAGATTTAAAAATGTAACAACGAAATAAATCAATACAAATTTATCAATAAGACAGTAACAAAATATTATCGACACGGATTTTCAGGTAAATCTGTCCGCTCAATATTTATAATAAACTTGCGAGTGTTCATAAATTAATCAAAAACCCAACAATGTTCAATATATATATATATAGTTATACATAATTATACTTCTTTGTAACTGTGTTTTAAGCTCACCGACTCTTACTGTTACTCACTCGTACTCATGTTACATTGCATACAGTGAAAGTTGTTCGAGTTCCTTCCGAGCAATGCCCGCACCGACAATATTTCGTATATCGGGTGATGTGGGTAATTTTGGCGTGGTGTTATCAGATCGAAGAATCTAAATATAAAAACAACTATAATAAACGACGCCGGTGGACACTTTGGAATCGTCAAACTCGTGTCCTAAAATTCACCGTGTCCTGCGCTTATTAGCAATTTATCCAGTCACCAGCGCAACTGTGGAGTGCAGCAACTCTTCCATACAACATGTCAAAACTGTGTATCGTAGTACAATGGGGAAGAATATGGGTTTAATGTGCTACCGCTACTTTTCGCCCACAAAGATATTTCTATCTATATATTCTATATAAATATATTATACTACGAAACTGCTGTAAAGGAATTTGCGCGACGCACGCCCATGCAGAATCGTACGCCCTATTGCAGTAAAGTTATTGCATTCAAACCACTATCTAATACCCGAGGGAGTGATACGCTATTTTACTTTATGCATACGACACGATCTCAACGTAACAATCTTAATAATTATGCGCGCGTACTTTTTGAAAAATCAACTACTTGTCGCCCCCCGTTAGGGAATCCTGCATCCGTCCCTGATTGCAGCTGTTGGGCGATACATGCTATAAATACACCGATGTGATTCCCAGAAAGATACACAAGACGCTCATAGACATTGAAAGGAAAGGAACAATATAGGTGTCCATAATTAGCTTCTATAGTTCTATGGTGCAGGAAATAATAGTTCAGGAACATCAGGAGAAGCTAATTCCCCGAAAATGGCAAGTTTTTTCGCGACACATGAAATGAAAACATCGCACAGAAAAGTTGTACAGAACAACTCTGGTCACTATGT